CCCTGCTCCCTCATCACATCCTCCATCTCGGCACATTTCAGTTCCAGAGCTCTCTTGCGGGCATGTTCTCGTATCTCTGCATTTGGACCGCGGGTCCTCTGATCCTCTAGCTTCTGCAGCTCCTCTTCTGTCCGAAAGTCAATCTGAAATATTTGAGATCTATTTAGTAGAGATGCACAAAAAAATAATAACTGAATAAAAATCCAAATGCATAAAATTCTAACTGAACATATGGAGTGGGGTGGGGAATAGGCATTCTAATAAAATTCCTATGAAGAATTAAAGTATAGCTTACATCATAATCATCATTACTGTGTAATATCAAATTCTGACATAAAACCTACCTTGTTCTTTGTGTTGCGGATCAGAGCCATATTTCTCTGTACATATCCATTTGTACCCGACCCCCGGGCTGTCTGCAGCCCGATTCCGTTGTACATTTTGATGGAGAGTCTGGAAGAGTAAATTCAGTTGAAAAATAAGTACATACTAGAGCCATCAATTTCAGACAGTTATTGCTGCCAACAGGGCATGATTTATTACAATGCTTAAGGGCACCCCCAACCATAAATCCTATTGTACATTCACTAGAGGACAAACCAACAAAAGTAACAAAAATACAATCAATACCATTAAAGACTTGGGGGGGGGGGAGTTACAAGCTTAAACTATGAGACAATCCAAATTTGACATGCATCACAGGCTCTCCTTTCCTAAACTGCAGAATCCATTCTCCTTTCAACATCAGTTCATGAGGGGGGAGGAAGAAACTTGGTTGCATAGGAATTTTTACCAGTGGATGATGTGCAAGGACTTTACATTGACAATTTCTTAGAATTGCAGAAACTGGGTACTTTTCAAATACCTGATTAAGAATATGATTCTCCTACTCCAAGAATAAAATAAAATAGTTTGGTCATATTGTAACACAAATTTTTTAGTTATGTACTGGCTAATTACAAAACTCCAAAACTTCCTTATACACTATACTGAGAAATATATGCAATATCTGCAGCAAAATATAATATTTTCATAGTTGATGGAAAACTAAATAAATACATTTATGTGTATACAGGAGTTAACAATATGCAGCAGCATCATGGTCATAATTGGCACACAGAGGAACTAGTAACTAGTATACGATGAACTGACTAGACTCTGGTTCAAGGACAGACATATATATGGAGCATAAGAAGAAACGAGGACTTACCAAGCAAGGGGTGTTGCCCCTCTACTTTATCATTCCATCTTTTTTCATCTTAAGGGAGTTACCAAAGATCTGACAAAAAAATCATTTGAAAATGCACAGACCCTAAGCACCTCCCCTCACACATTTTAGCTTCCCCTCCTCCGTACCCTGAGGAGTCCTCCTCCTCTACCTTTAGCTCATTACTGACATAACGAGGTCATTCATTCATAAACCACTATAGGAGCATCACCAATACCCCTGCTGAGATCATTACAGTAAAAAGCTTGGTGGACTTGACATCAATCCACAAATATATAAAATAGTAGGGCCATTGCAAGGCCCCTGGGACTGTGGCTAAGGCTGGATAAGAAATCATCATGACCCCTTATAGACCCCTTAAAGTTCCAGAAGTACTACACATTGGGGGGATGCTACTGCTCCCACGTCTGTTAAGATGGCCATGATTTACAAATCATAACCATAGTACCTAAAGAAAGGCAAAGGTACTCCTATATTTTAATATGGGAGTACCATGCAAATCTAGGCTTAAAGGTACTTTTCTCAGAGCTCATTGGAAGGCCTTTAATTAAGAATCAATTAGCATTTGGCTCTTGCCCTCAATATGGCCTATAAGACCCAAGACAACCTTTACTTTGAAGACCCTGAATTTCATCTTAGATATAGAAGTCCACTTTGCTAGATCAAAAAAAATATAATTTTTGTTCACTGTTACAAATTTACATCCATTTAGAAAGAAAAAAAGAAAAAAATTAATACAGGTCTAGTATCTCCTACAGCCTGCACCTAGTTTTGATATCTGAATGCTCATTTTCTTTCAAGGGAGAATTATTGTATGATAATGTTAAAATGCCACAGACTGTCAGAATCACATACAGAAATACTATTTGTTTACATTGGTGTAATTGTGCTGTGTGGATTTAGAAGTATTTTCAGTTTTCTTGTGTTCTTTGACACCAAATTTATCTTTGTCCTTACAAATAAGATATGAAAGATCTTGTATCTGATATGATAATCCTTTTCTTAATCCAATCGGCATGGATGGCAAGAATACATGCAAATCCCATTGTGCTATAAGTTCACCTATTGTCTTTACATATAGATGGTTCTACAAGTTCTTAGTCACCAAGGAGTCAGTTATTGGTACTACCAATCTCAACTGTTTACCCTTTTCCTTGATTTTTGGGAAGCTTTATTTGCATTATATGATTTTCTTTAATGTTATTAATATTTCAACAACAATTTGATAACCATAATATCAAACAGAATAATAACAGTATCAGTATTAAGTGT